TTTTCAGCTTAAATTATTTCTTTTTCAATATAACGTTTATAGCATTTCGAAAATGATTCGTTATGAATTATTTAGTCATAGTAAATATGATGTCCGAAAAAAATGTCTTTTTAAAGTGCATCAAAAATGTCGAGGTTTTTTTCAGCCAGAGTCTTATACACTTTCCACAATTTTGAGTAAAATTTCAAAGCTCTTTCAAAAAATGTATCTCAGATATTTTATTAATAATATGTTATCGAAGATAAAAATTAAGTTAAAATTATTAAAATACGGAGTATCATTATAAATATGGCGAATAAGAAAGATTTAAATTAATTTAAGTTAATTCAGGTTAGTTGAAAACAGGTTTTAATGAAACAGTACATTGATGGAGATTTACTGTGTTAATGTAAAGTTAAAAAAAAAACAAAACATAATAGACCAAAACAAAACAAAACCATTTGAAATCAAACTGATTTAGATCTAATCTTGAAACAAAATTAAAAATAATAAAATAGTTTTTAGAGTATTGCGGATTTGGGGGATGTATAAATCATTTTAGATTATAAAATTAAAATAAATATTATAAAATTAAACTCAACTTAAACTAAAGATTAAAAAATAGTTGCTAAAAAATACTTAATACTATAAACATATACATAAAGAATTCTTGGCCATAGATGGCGCCACATGAAAACAAGAACAATCGCACCCCTCTGCCTTAATGGCATACGTCAACAACAACAACTAGAAAACACTTAATATAAATGAAGAAAAGAATAAGATTTTTTTAAGCTTGTACATGTTTATAGACCCAAGGTTGTGAAAACTAAATAAATTATGGTCATGCCCAATTTTATATATATATATATGCCCAATGAGGACATATATACACTGAATCTCAACAAGAAGGTAGCCTTTTTCAATCAATAATAATAAAATGTCTGAGAGGGTTAATAAATTTGTCTGAGTAGGTTCGAGTCTCTTTTGTAATTCCAGAACTATTTGTTCTATCATCCTGAAATTCAGACAGTGGCTGCTGCAAAGGGTAAATTTAGACCTCGATCATAAAATTCGTTCGAAATTTTCCATTAGTTAGTCTGATAGATTTTTTCCCATTCGCTTATAGCTTGCGATTGATAAAAATGAAACTGCACACGATTTTCTTAATTTCAGGTGATTTAAAGATTATATTAGGTATATTTGTTTGCTTACAGCTCTCATTAACGAGAGTTTGTTTTGCACATTCTTAATTATTTATTTATTATGTATTTGTTATGTTAGATAAACTCACTGAGAAATCAGCATAGCATTGGCAGATTACATAATCAAATTAATATTTCTAAAGCTATTTGAGACTTCAAGTTATTTTGTTTATAGTTATACATAGGAAACTAAATTATTTAAATAAACAGCAATTTAAATACGAATATGATAGGGCATTACTTTGTATTGCAAGCAAATGACATAATGAGATTAATTTTCATAGTAAACAAAAATTGAGATATTAATTCGCACAGGAGATGAGAAAAATTCGTCATACTCTTATTGACATCAACGATGCTTGATTAAATTTGTATAAATTGTATTAAATTTGTATTATAAGTGATAATTCAATTAAAAAATAGCTATGTTACTGAAAGCAAGATTAATGGAGAAAAGGTACTTATTCTTAGGTACTTATTTAAGCAACCTTGAAAAATCACCATACTGCTATTGACTCAAATAAGTCTTAATATTGGTTTTACGTACAAGCTGAACTAAATAAGCGGGTACTAAAAAGAAAAATTAATGGAGAAATGTAACCGACTCATTTAGAAAATCGCAAAGAATAACCCTATTATTCTTATGCTATTGAGGCTTAATTATGGTAATAATTACTAATTGGAATAAAAAATAATCTATGTTAAAAACAGCATTACTGGATAAATGGTACGTAATCCATTTAAGGGATCGCCAAACTATTATTGACGCCATTGATGTTTCATTAGTTATGATAATAAGTACTAAATAAAAAAAATAATAAACCGTAGATTATTTATTCTATACATCAAAATTAATAGAGACATGGTTTGAGAGAGAAATACGAAATCGCCATATTATTATTGACACCAATGAGGCTTAATTAATTTCGGCGATAGGCGCTACTGGTATTATGTAATTGATGCAGTTTCAATTAGTACCGAATGAACAAATGGTACAATGTATTATATTAGTATATTTGATACCTATTAAAACTTCATAAATACTTGGAAGATTTAATTTAGATACTGTGAAGAGAATTTCTTTACTTCTCTTCTAAAGGGATAAGTCTAGGAGAAAATCTCGTGATAGTGGAAAATTTTGAAAATTATGAGTTGGCCTTCAGCAACAACATCATGCCATAAGATTCTGAAAGCAGTTAATCATCATTTTAAAAGGATAAGCAACTAAAAACATGCTTTATTAAATTTAATAACGTTAAGCCACCGGGATGAACAAAATATAATAATAAATTTGAAAAAAGAATTATTATGGCTTTATTAATTGCATTGGTATAAGTCTTTAAATTTCGTGCATGATTTCATAGTATTGCTCGGTGTTGATATATTGATTGTTTAATTTTTTTACCCCATACGAAGAATGGGTTTTCAGCAAATATAAGTATTAGGTTTGAACTCCACAAATAAAGTTCAAATTTAAAATTTTTTTGATAAATTATAGATCTGCCAATTTTTTGTTAGATAAATTTTGGATAGTTCTATAAAAACATCACATTTAAGTTAACGTCATATTTTTTTTAATCATTAATATCCTTTTTATATCATCCTTATCCATACACATAAGGCTTGCTTTATTTAAATCTTCAATAGTTAATGTAAATAAAGAATAAAGCTTACTATGCAATATGCTGTTTAGTAAATTTACAAAAAGTTAAAATATTTTTCAAATGACAGTTTTGGATGTAATTATGTACATTTATATCAATGTTTCAGTTATAGAATTTTGCAAGATGCAAAGTATTTTTAGCTCTCTCCCTTAATAGGAGGTCAAATAATGTAAACATTTTTATTTACTTTATTTTTAATTTTCGAAATACACTCATCAAAACTTTTTGAGCCTAAAACTTCTAACCAAAACTCACAATGTATTTAAAGTGCGTACATCAAAATACCTATTTACATCAGAATGTTATTGATAAAAACTAAATGAAATGCATTATTGTCACTTCAAACTATTAGCAACTGTAAGAAACTGAATTTATTATAACAAATTACTACAATTTGCGCATTACATAATTTCTTGTTGGTGTGGAGATATAAACAACACCATTATGTAGTTTGAAATGAACAATGCAGCTGATACAAAGCACTATTCAGGAACTCAAACGTTCATAAAAATTCATGTCTACGCTCTATCATTAACGAATTCTGGATTCGTTACAAATCGTTCTCCCCTGCGCTCCAAATGTTCATTATTAGAAAGGAAATAAACAGTTCCCCCCACTATAGAGAGTCATGATTACCTTTTAGCTTTCGAATTCCACTGGAGGGTTTCAACTGGGAGAACGATTTTTTTTTCTCTCTCCATCTATATCTTTTTCTTTTCAGTTTGTTGTGAAAGAAGTTTTGGGGATCAAAAGAAATTTTGTTGATCTCGTTCCGGGCTGCACTATGATCATCTAATTCAATGGTGTAAAGTTGTAAGGAATGGCAGGATAAAAACTTTGGAGTTAATATTAGTGGAGTTCATAAAAGAGATAACTTTTTTTTTTACCTCGATTGTGAAGAAATTTATGCTTAATTCGAACGATTTTGTTATGGTATCAGTTTTAATACTCGATTAAATGGGGTCTGGTCTAAATTGAGGTTCATTAAGAAAAAAATATTCTGTCTTATCATTTAAATTTGAAACAAAAAGCTTTGAATGTAGTATATTCCTTCATTTTTGAAATGATATTTGGCAGATAATTTTTAATTTAACAAGTTTTCATGTATAAATTCAAATTGAAAGTGTTGTCCATGCCTAAGTTGTGAAAGTTCTGCCTGCAAAAAGAAATTTGTTCATCTTATATCGTTGCACTATGTTCATCTAATTTAAAGACATAAAGTTGCATGGGATGCCAGCATATAACGTGTTATGCAGTTTATATTTAATGGAGCTTATAAGAAGCATCGATACATTTTTTTTTTAACCTTGATTGAGGAGAAATGCGAACATAATTAAATTATTTCCAAACTCCTTCAAACATTTTATACCACATAGTGCGTGATTAAATGGTTTCTGCTCTTAATTAAGCTTCAATAGAAAATAAAAAATGATTTTCGAGTAATTTTTTTATTGTATTGAAGCATAATGCTTGATATGTATTATATATAATTTCTATATTTATTAACTGAAATTTAAAATTAAATTTCAATTTAGCATTAGGCGATTGCTAAAGTCTGTACCAGCTAAAAAATAATTAAAATACAACACATTTCAATGCTGATACAGTTCAAAAAGTAACAGAGAAGCGTCACTTTTTATTCAGAAAAAGTATACTCTGAATTTGGTTTTGTAACTTCATTGGTTAATGCTGATTAACTAGAACACCTCGAAAATTACTGGACAGTTCAAGGAAATTCTATAGCTAAATTCATGCCAATTTAAGATGTTTAAAGATTATCTTTTTAAACGTTATATTATTTATAATATAGTTAGCTTAATTGGTATCCAACACTAGCTGATATTTGGTAATTAAATCTTGTTGCTATATGACTAAAATTTCTAAAACAGCGATACTGAGATAATTATTTGAATCCCATAAAAACATACTGATGATCAATAAAAGTTTAAGAGTGAAACTTTGCACAAAATGATTAGAAAAACGTGCCTAAAAATTTTTTTTGATGTTCGAAGAATTTAAATTTGGCGTAAGAGTCTATAAACAAATAATTTCAACACTAGTAATCTATCTGATATTACAAGCACCATTAGACGATACAGAGAAGCCATAGTTGAATTGATTTAAAACTACGTTAAACAGAACAAATACTTACCCTCTAAACATATCTTCTGGGCATATATCGTGAAGACTGGAAATTGAGAGGAAGTTAGAGCTTCTGGCCGGTCAACGGCACTCGAACTGAAGAGTACACAAAGTCCGGTCTCAAAATTAACTGCCCTGCAGGACAAATTGTGACGACAATAGGACAGACATTCTGTTAAGTGTAGAGTACCAGGAACTAGCTCGATTGTGTCATCCGGTGCCGTGAATACGAAACCCGTGACTAATTCGAAATTCTGCTTAGCTAACGGACAATCTGAAAGAAGATAAATATCATGAGCTGATATAAGAGACATTTTATTTTATAACAATTTTAAATATAAAAAAAACACATATAAAATGAATTTCCCAGATATAAATGAGTCCTAAGAAGGACAAACAACTTAAAATACTAATTTAAAAAAAAAAACAATACAAGGAAGATTGAAAAGTGTTTGGAAGAGATAGAAATGTATGGTTTGCTGCATTCTGCTTAGGTAACCAGTAAATTTAATCACAAAGCCCCCAACAGATGACGTTAACTGTTGAACAATGTTTCCAGATTAAATTATTTCTAGCAAAAACGCTGTGATTTGAGATCGAAATTAACTCATGACCTTGCAAATATTCCAGTTCTAAAGTGTTTGAAAACAGAATAATACTTTGTTTTACACCTTTCTTTTTTAGAGCGTTATGTGTTAATGAACTCTAATATTAAAACATGTTGAGAAGAGACGCCTAGTTACCTAAACACAATTCAACAATCCGTGCATTTCTTTTTAATTTTTTTAACCAATTTTACACATATTTGGGACACTTAGGGCAGATGATTTTTTAAGGATGGGGGCAACTCCGTGTTTGTACATTCTAGAATACAGAGCTTAAACATCTAATGAATACATTTGTTCTTATTTTGTCTGATTTGTGGATTCCTCTGTTTACCATCAGGTATAAAGGTGTACTATTTTTAAATTAAGACAACTATTACTGGCATGAACATGACAGGACCACTATTCGAATGAGACATTCATATAAAGCATCAACATTACAAAAGACGTAATTCTTTTTTGGTAAGGAGAAAATTAGGTAATAAAAACTGCAACATTGTTTTTGCAGCAAAAACCTTGCGAAGTGCTATGCATAAAATCAATTTTAAGGTTCGTTTTCTTTTTTGACAAAAATGGATGTTTTTTTTTATGGTTGAGCTACTCATCTGTCTATTCAGATACCATTTCATTATGTTGCCTAAACAATTATATCTAAATATACGATAAGCTACATTTTTTTTCGAATCATATTTTTTTGAGAAAATTGATGTTTAGCATTGTTTCAAGATAGGTATTTTAAAAGTTTCCAAAATTCCGCAAGAAAACACTAGAATATACATAAAGATCTTTTTGCCTATGTAGTTGTCGATTTTTCTCTGAAACTGATATTTTGAAGAATTTCAAAATTTGGTTTATCGCTATATTGACTCAAGCCTTTCATGTGTTATCAACAATAGTTCTTGCTCTCATATCTGATCTATAATAGTTGTCGTGATAAATTATGATCTGAAATTTATTAATAATTTTCATAAATTATTATATTAATTATTTTTATATTATATTCTGAAATTTATTACCATTACCGCCAACACTAAATTAAAAAAAAATTATTTTAATTATATAATTCGAATTTCATTATCCGAGTAAAGGTATCACATCTTTTAGTACGGATTTATATGTATAAATTCATTCTAAATTATCTTAGCCGTACTTCATTCTAGAACTTAATTGAAAATTAAACTTTGTTTTTCTCTTTAAGAAAGGGAAAAAAATCTTTACGTAAGTTTGAATAACGCAGTTAATATCTCTTTTTTACGAGTTTTTAATCTTTAATTTTCAACTGTCAAAAGTAGAAAAAAGTAGTCACAATATGTAACTATGCATTTTGATTTTTTTCTCCTTCGCCAGATTAGTTAAATTAAATTTTTGAAAGGTAAGACAGCTTGTGGGATTGTTGGTTATTTTAAATTCTCTTCTTCACTTTAAGTTAGTTTTTATTATTTTTTATTACATCATGACATTATTCTAAATACATGCAAAAGAAACGAACGAAGAGTTCACTAATGAATAAATAAATCAGACACAAGTATTCCGATTTTTTTTAGATAAAAAATATAATGTTTATTGACAGTGATATCTCATTCAGTTAAAAACGTACTAAATAAATTTTTAATAATTGAACATCAAAATATTTATTTTGTCAAAAATATGCAAAATAAATAAAAAATTGCCTATGAATATTTTTGTTTTGAGTTAAGTCTATACACGTGAAATATTCTATTAAGTATAAAATTCTGCGTTATTACTTCAGACAGTTAAACTGAAAAAAAAGGCTTTTCTCTGTTGAAGGAAATTTTTTCAAAAGAATCTTCGATACTTTTGGATCACTAAATTCAAATCTGCAATCGTTTTCTTTCTCCAAGATACAATTTCTTAAACTGACACTTTTAGTCTATTTTTTGTCAATATACACAACTTTAAAAACTAAAGGAGGAGACTGCAATAGGATGAGATATATAACAGGATAATTTAGACTATTATAGGAGACTACAATAGGAGGAGACTATAATTTAAAAGCTATAATAGGAGGTCGCGACACACTTCTGGAGACTAAGGGCAAATTACTAGGATTAAAATTTATAGGAATTTGTGTCTGGAAATATCGTCATACGCCGCTAGGCGCTTACCTATTATGGACCATTTCTTCGTAATCTTCTGATTAGGTCATAATAGGGAAACGCCCTTAGCCGCTTGCGACGAAATTTCCGGACACGGGCTACCATGCAGTTTTTAATCCAGATGATATGCCCTTATTCTCTTAGAAGTTTGTTGCAAGATGTAAATGCAATATAACAGGGGGTGTATGTAATGTAAAATTTTTGTAATTGAACGTTTCGAAAATAATAGATTAAAATTGTCCTTTTAAAAAAAAATCTGAAGCTTTAGGAGCTTTTAGGAGCAAAACTGATTACAGATTTGAAATCCCCACACCCCAATTAGATAAGAACAATAATTTGTATAGATGCAACGAAAAATTTATTCCCCAGTGTAATCTATATTATCAATTCCATAGGAAACGAATTTTGGTTGAGTTCATTTTGCATACCTGCTTCAATAACTTTTTCCCCACTATCTGACCAAGTTTGTATCATAAAGATATTTCAGTTTTTAACATTAAAAGAGACTCAAAAGTTACACACAAGCTTAATGTCATTCGAATCTAAGACAAAACGACAAAACGTGTACTTTGTTATGACGGATTTAGACGTGTTTAAAACATTTAATACGCAGTTTATATTTAATATGCAAGCTGTAATAATTTAATTCGTATTTTAATTTAAGTATTTGAAAGGATTGTGTTAGTTTAACTAAACTATGATAAATGCGTTTTCGAATACGTAATTTGTTATTGCCCCATTCTTCGTAATACGTAGATAATATATGAGGGTTTTAATTAAATGTAACATTAATTTAACAAACTAATGTTTAATTACTTAGGTTTAAGCTATAGAAATTCAGTGCTTACTGAAAATATGAATAATTCTGATTTAAGGAATTAATACTTAAGCGCTATTTAACATTTGTTGAAATTGTAGGGTTATATAAAAGCTAGTTATTAGAATTTATAATATTCTAAGGGGGGAATTTCTTAGCTTCCTTGCAATTGCTGATTAATTATTCGAAGTTACATACATCACATAAAATGAAGAAATATGAACTAAAATCAATGTGAAAAATCCAAACAGTAAATAGCATTAATAATGAAATGAATGTTTAAGATTTAAAAAAAAAATTACCGAATAGATATTCGACTCAAAATGGGACTAGTTAGCTGTTTTATTTTCTACGTTAAGTAAAACACCATTTAAAATAATTTTAGCATTATAGAGCATTATACTGCTTATTATACACTGAAGAGCCAAAAAAACTGGTATACCTGCCTAATATCGTGTAGGGCCCCCGCGAGTACGCGAAGTGCCGCAACACGACGTGGCATGGATTCGATCAATGTGCGAAGTAGTGCNAGTGCCACAACACGACGTGGCATGGATTCGATCAATGTGTGAAGTAGTGCTGGAGATAATAGACACCATGAATCCTGCAGGGCTGTCCATAAACCAGTGGGAGTAAGAGTGGTGGGGATATCTTCTGAACATCACGGTGCAAGGCATCCCAAATATATTCAATAATGTTCTTTTCTGGGGATTTTGGTGGGCAGCGGAAGTGTCTAAATTCAGAAGAGTGCTCTTGGATCCACTCTCAGATATGAACATTATTGAACATATTTGGGATGCCTTGCAACGTGATGTTCAGAACATATTCCCACCCCCTCTTACTCCCACTGGTTTATGGACAGCCCTGCAGGATTTATGGTGTCAATTATCTTCAGCACTACTTCACACATTGATCGAATCCATGCCACGTCGTGTTGCGGTACTTCTGTGTGCTCGCGGGGGCTCTACGCAATATTAGGCAGGTGTACCAGTTTTTTGGCTCTTCAGTGTACATACAGACGTTTGATTGAAGACGTTGATTGAAATATGACTTGGCCGTTTTATGATATTTTAAAAGTGGTCAGGAAATTCTGTAAGTCCGTAAGGCATTCTCTCAACAGCCAGGGAGGAGGATTTATGGTAGTTAATGTCTTACAATTGCTTGACCAATGGCATGATATTGGCAATGTGGTCTGTAATGATAATTGATCTTCCCTTCCTAGACTACCTTTACCAGTACGATTTCAAGCCGTCTGCGGCGATAAAACTCTGGTTCTTTAAATTACAACTTAATCGAGGTACGTAAAAAAATATTAACAAAAGTTGAATTATAAAACTTGTCCAATAAATTTTGAAAAATCGTAAAATTAATTTACAGTAGAAAGACTTTCGTTTAAATAAGACTAATCAAGCTAATTTTGAGTCACTACAACTCAGTTGTAAAGCGAGATAAGAAAGCAGCTTCTGTTACTGACTTAAATAACAGACAATACCTTAATTCTGATCTATTTAAAATGTTTTACAGGATCTCAAAGTAAATGCTGCTGGCCGAGATGCCCAGTGGTTAGAGAATCGACCCCGGTTAGGAGGGCCGGGTTCCGATTCTCGACTCCGTGACCCAAAGAGTACATGCGGTATACGTCCTCGTAAAATCTGGAGAATTCAAAGTCCTGTGGTTAGTTGCTAATCAGTACCAGGAATTTGGAGAAAATTTCCTTCACCTCCAGATTTATGTC